ATACTGGTGACTGTGGTCCCCCACAGTATTTTAATAAATTTTTTTACTATTCTTAATTTTTGAGTCTGTTGTACAACTTTTCTCTTATTTTTGAGCTCTCCAGTCGATAGAACTCGAAAAATTACCCTTATGAGCAGAATTTTACGTTGCAGCCAAGTTCTTTTCGTGACAAAGTAGGGAGATACATACCTATTTACATAAAAAAATGACCATTTTCTACCCCAGAATCGCGTTGTTTTATTTCAAGGTGATTTGTGTTCGGCGTGAAAAGTTCAGATTCGTCAGATTCGTAGAGAAAACAAAATTCTAAGTTGTAAAAAGTATTTTTCACTAAAGTTTCAAGAATAGTTATTTTACGAGGGGCCCAACAATGAAAAAAGGGGTCTACATTGTGGTCCGGACTATATGGAGAAGAAAGAAGTTTTGAGAGATCTTATTATGATATTTGTAATCAGCATACTTGATTGTATAGGCACATCTAGTTTTGATCAGCGAAAAGCGAATTTTTTTTCGACGATACTTGTGGAGGACCCCAGGGACCGAAATCGACGATATCAACATTTTTTCAGAATAAAGCTGAAAAAAATAGTCAGGAGTCATCCGATATTCAAACCTAATAGAAATAAAGCAATTCTAAAGAAGTTAAAAAAATCGGCCTTATCCGCCCTCCTCCTTTATAATTACAACATATTGAATTTCGTTTTCAATTATTCAAGTTTATCTTAAATAAACATGATCACATTTCGAAATCATATGTAAACACAATATACATAGGATAGTCAAAAAGTTCTCGTAATAGTACTCTAAAATTTCATCCTGATTGATTTTATTTCTGATGTTGGCCCATTCTAGTATTGACATCTGTTGTATTTTAAAATACTAATACGAAGTTTCACAAGTGTCTATTATGACTAATATCTAATCAATTTTTCAACACTTCTATTTTTCAAATGGATAAACTATGTATTCGGTCATATATAAAAACTCGTTGGTTATTATGTTTAACTCCTACACAAATTCATGATGACCTAACTGCTGCTTATGGACAAGGTGTTGTTTCATATAGTACAGTTGCTCGTTGGATTGATCGATTTTGAAGTGGACGGGAGTCGTTGGACGATGATCCTCGAAGTGGTCGTCCATTATCCATAATTACTCAACAAAATATTGATGCTGTTAAAGACCTCGTGATTGATGATCCACATATTAGTATTGATTATATTGCTACCATCTTAGACATATCACATGGTAGTGTAGATACTATTCTCAAGCAACATCTTGGCTTAAGACAGATATCGTCAAGATGGGTACCTCATAAACTCAATCAACAACAACGACAACAACGTATTGATATTTGTCTTGAAAATTTACAAAAATTTGAAAGTGGTGCATGGCGGCCATGTGATATAGTAACAGGTGATGAAAGTTGGTTTTATCATCGAAAAATTAAGTCAAAACAACAATCTAAAGCATGGGTAGGAAAAGAAGAAAGTCTTCCAACTGCAGTTAGAAGACAACTATTCGAAGAAAAAGCAATGTTCATTATTTTTTTTATGATAAATGGACCATTACTTATTCATCAGGTACCTTCTCGAACATCAGTCAATGTAATATATTATCGTGATGAATGTTTAAAAGCTTAATTAAAACATTACACAAGATAAGACCATCATCAACAGCAACTCACGTTAAATTGCATCATGATAATGCAAAACCACATATGAATGATATTCTTTTTAATTATCTTAAACAAGAAAAAATCAAAGTTATGGCTCATCCACCATATTCACCTGACCTTGCCCCTTCAGACTTTTGGTTATTCAATTGTCTGAAACGTAGCCTTGATACATATCCAGATGCTACAAGTTTAGCTAAAGCGTTATCCAAAGAGCTCAATTCAATACCTATTCAAGAATATCAAAAGACATTCCAGAAGTGGATTGAAAGGATGAAACTTTGTATTGAGTATCACGGGGACTACTTCGAGCATTTACTATAAAAAGATTAGCCAAATATTTTTTTCTATGAATAAATATTTGAAAGTCCGAGAACTTATTGACTGACCTATGTACCATCAATTGATAACTGACATATATATCATTGTAAATCTTGTAGAGTAAGAAATTTTTACTGATAAAAAACTAATGAAATATTCCCACTACAAATGTTGTTCTATGATAAATACGACAAAATTTCAGTTATTTCTAACTTATCTATAAGTAAAACGTGAATAACAACATTAAGTGATTTGGTTTTCTATTGTATGAATGCATTGATAAATAATTCTAAGTACTACCTTTTAAATTGGAACACTAGCTTTTTTCTAGAAAATAATCTAAAAAATACTTTATCGCTTTTATTAATGTAAACAAGTACACAGAATGAAAAAAAAATGATAGCACTCTGTTGTAACAAATAAAATCAAGTCGCATTCACAATACAAAGTTTCACACTTATTTCAATTTTTGAATTATTCATTGATAGATTCATCTTCGTATAGCGAACATTCGATCATTATTGATAGAGCATATATCAGTAGTCAGTTTTGAAACATTTCATTTCTTTGCTTCTATTTTTCATCTTAAAATTTCAACAAATTTTCTTCGTTTTAAAGATGTTTTATTTTTTCCTGTGCAACTACAATTCCGATTAGTAGTAATATGCTTTATTTGTACCTGTGGTTCGTATGCAACTGTATCTAATGACTTATAATTCCAACAGTTCAGATCTATGGTGAAGTGAAAGGCGAATTGTTAAGGTCTGTAATCGGGATGGGGGGGGGGGGGGGGGGGGGGGGGGGGGGGGGGGGGGGGGGGGGGGGGGGGGCGGTGGGGGGGGCTTTCGTTGTAAGGGGGCTCGAGGGAAGAGGGGGGGGGCCGC